ATCTTATCAGAGCTGTGCAATAACTTCCTTTTCCTTCCTCCTGTCTTTCTTTCAGATTTTATTACCTTGGTCTCTTTCATTCCTTCAGGCTTTTCCTCGTTGTTTTCTTGTCCAAGCGAAACACACTTTATTTTTATATTCGCAAGAAGTGCTGATATTCCTCTCCCGTTTAGGGGGGAGGAGCAGGGGAATTGTTGAGCTTGGAAAACTGGGAATAGGCGTGCGTGACTTGGCAGGGACACCTTCTATTTTATGTTGCAGTTGTAAAGTAGGAGAAAATGAATGTTCATGCAATAAATGTAATCTTATCCCATTTTAGGCAAAAGGGCAAAGAGCGCTAATTAGGAAATGCATCATCTGCTAATCGGAGAACTTTTAAAAGAGTTGCCGTTCAGTCTGGTAACTTAAAAATTAGCACGTAACTCTTTGGCGTGTGGCTTACTGTGGGACAATGTGAAGGCTTGAGGCTGTTTTGTGGCTTAAAACCGGAGCAGTAGGGGGCAGCAGAGAGACACAGCAGCCCATTGGGAGTTCTTGGGTGTGTTGTCTACAAGCAGAGGAGGAATGTGACACGTGCACCACTCTTTGGTGTCATATGTTCTCTCCCTCTCAGGGCCAGCTACGTTGGCCCTGCCCCTCCTTTGTCCGGGGAAGCCAGTGCCACAGGTGGGACTGTCTTGTAATAGTCTGTTACAGGGCTGGGCTCACTTGAGCCCTAAGGGAACAAGTTGTCTCTGAGTTTCCAATAATCTCATCAAAGTGAAGCTTAATACAACATTATATTGCAGTTGGTACTGGATAGGTTTCCAGCTAAAACAGGGCTCTGTTTTCACTCTGTAACTGCAATAAAAACATCTATGAAACTCGAGTAAAACTAGACCAAGTTCTCTTTCCTTGCAGAAAGCCTGACTTGTGCATGCTGGGGTAATGGCTTGAAGTCCATTTACCTTCATTTGGTTTTGGATCTGCAAAAACAAACAAATCCCAAAATCCATCAACCTGAAAATGTGTTCTCTTTTCTCAATCACACTTGTCAGATCTACTTCCAGCGATGTCTGTTTCTTCAGAAGAGGGCCTCTTGTTCTTTCATTGGCTCTCACGTTGTTTGTGTAAGCAAAGCCATTGGTTGAAGACCGCATATATGGGTAGAGGAAAAATAGACTGTCGTCAATGATTGACCAAACTGACAGATTGTGACTGGTTGATGTAAAGTGTGAATGTGACTACTATACATCTTGCACTGAAGCAGAGACCTAAATAAACATCACTTTGTTTCAGGATGGTCCTTTATGTTCTGTACTTCACTCCTGCAGTATCTTCTCATAATTATGGTTGATATTTTGTCACAGATATTTTTAGTAAAAGTAACGGATAGGTTGCAGGCAGTAAACCAAGATTCATGGAAGCCGGCAACCTATCTGTGACTTTTACTAAAAATAATAGGGGGGAAGGATTGACGGGGGGACAACTGCAGCCAGAGAAAGGGAATGAGAGCCTAAGCCCTGCTGAATGGGGGAGGTCCAGCACCCACCACCACAGTGGTTGAGAGCTCCAGGCCCCCTGCTGCCCTCCGTGGCTGAGAACTGCAGGGGCCCCACCGCGCCGGGGCTGAAGTGGAAAATGTCACAGAGGTCTCTGAAAGTCATGGAATCTCTGACCTCCATGACATAATCTTGTTCTTACTCATATTATACATTTTTCTTGTTGATATTCCAAACATTAACAGTAGGAGACTATGTTCCCTCTGAGTCCAAGCAGCTAATAGTGTTGTATGCCATCTTCTCAAAGGGTTTATTCTCATGAGGCATGTCTTTGGAAAAAAAAATTTTATCACAGTTAAATATTTGGTACCATTCATCTGTTGTGCATAATTGTTCACTGTTTGTAAATCAGTTATGTCATATTTACCCAAGCCATTCCAAATTTGGAACATACAACAACACAGATAGTGGAACATACATAAGAACGGACATACTGGGTCAGACCAAAGGTCCATGTAGCCCAGTATCCTGTCTTCTAACAGTGGCCAATGCCAAGTGCCCCAGAGGGAATGAACAGAACAGGTACTCCTAAACTGATCCATCCCCTGTCGCCCATTCCCAGCTTCTGCTATCGTCCATGAACTTATCCAGTTCTTTTTTGAACCCTGTTCTAGTCTTGGCCTTCACAACATCCTTTGTGTGAAAAAATACTTCCTTTTGTTTGTTGCCTATTAATTTCATTTGGTGCCCCCTAGTTCTTGTGTTATGAGAAGGAGTAAATAACATTTCCTTATTTACTTTCTCCATACCGGTCATGATTTTATAGACTTCTATCATATCCCCCTCCCTTAGTAGTCTCTTTTCAAAGCTGAAAAGTCCCAGTCTTATTAATCTCTCCTCATATGGCAGCCATTCAATACTAATCATTTTTGTTGCCCTTTTCTGAACCTTTTCCAATTCCAATAGATCTTTTTTGAGATGGGGCGACCACATCTGCACGCAGTATTCAAGATGTGGGCATACTGTGGATTTATATAGAGGCAGTATGATATTATCCGTCTTCTTATCTGTCTGTCTCTTAATGATTCCCAACATTCTGTTCACTTTTTTGACTGCCGCTGCACATTGAGTGGATGTTTTCAGAGAACTGTCCACAGTGACTCCAAAATCTCTTTCTTGAGTGGTAACAGCTAATTTAGACCCCATCATTTTATATGTATAGTTGGGATTATGTTTTCCAATGTGCGTTACGTTGCACTTATCAACCTTGAATTTCATCTGCCATTTTATCGCACAGTCACTAGTCTTGAGAGATCCTTTTGTAGCTCTTCGCAGTCTGCCTGGGACTTAACTATCTTGAGTAGTTTTGTATCATCTGCAAATTTTGCCACCTCACTGTTTACCCCTTTTTCCAGATCATTTATGAATATGTTGAATAGGACTGGTCCCAGTACAGACCCCTGGGGGACACCGCTATTTACCATGCTGAAAACTGACCATTTATTCCTACCCTTTGTTTCCTATTCTTTAAGAAGACAGATTTATGATGATGATGATTTTTGCTTGTTGTGATAGCCCCCTAAATGTTCTAACAAGTCTCTAAGGTGCCACAAGTCCTCCTTTTCTTTTTGCGGACACAGACTAACATGGCTGCTACTCTGAAACCTGTAAATGTGCTAGGTATTTTCAAAACATGGAGCGAGACAGTCTCTGCCACAAAGATATTTCATTTGAATCCTAGACCAGATGCATCATGTAAGAGCTACAACAGGTGGAGAAATAAGGTCTCATGGCTACTTTATTGTTATGCATAGCCACAATATTTGCAAAGCACCCATTCCCTGAAAAAAAACCAACACTAAAATCCTCTTGATGGACGCAGTGCCCTTTCACCCATGCTCTTTGAATATCCATTCTGACCTTCTTCCTTTTACAGTCCTCCCTTCATTTGTCAGACCTGGAAGTCATTCCATGTCACCCCGGACATCAGTGATTCTTCGGGCTATGAAGGTTGCCTTTGCCTCAGTCTTTCAGTGAAGTTTGAATGGGAGGTGCCTGAGGAGGAATGGTGTCTGAAAGTTCCTTTAAATTGTGGTGTTGCTTTGGATTGGTCTGGGGATAGTGCAGTCAGTGCATGGCATTTATTTACTCAACCATTTTGAAAAAAGATAATTGAGATTTCACCCAGAGGCACCGAGCATACAAGCATGTCTATAAAAGTAGGTAACAAGAGAACAGTGCAACCCTGAGTCTTCGCATAAGTGTTCTGGGGCCTTCATTCTGTTGGAGCAAGGTCTGTGGCTGAACAATGGCCTGTGTGAAATGAGTTTGATGGCCTATCTGTTTCCCAATGGAAAGGTGTCCAAATTGCACAAAACCACCATTTGCCATAGGTGAGAATAACTGACACCTTCTTGGCAGACACAGCAAAGAGGCTGTGGGATGAACGGGCCATGCATAGTAAACTATTTTCCCCCTTGAGTTGACCCCTCCAGTCACAATGGGGGTACGCTAACAGATACCATAGTGATGGCTGCAGTATAAGAACCTAAACAGAATAGAATGTACAGGGCAATATACAGAAGCCTGTATTGTCATTGCTGTGCTAAATATGTCTATACGCAGGGACTTTATTTTTCCATTGATGTCAATCCAGCAAATCTCAGGAGCATTGAAATCCCCCCATTTTCTCTCTCAAATATTTTCATGTCAGAGCTTCCTCTTCTATGTATATATTGGAAGCATCTTGAAGTGCTCAGTAAGAGAGTACCATACCTAAACTCACTGTCCCTATTAAAATAATAGCTACTTGATTTCATCCCTGCACTTAAATACAGAATTTTGTTCTGAGCTTTACCCACACTCTGTTCTGCAAGGGGGGTGGGGGGGGAGAAAAAGTGTTTTAATCAATGCAAGATTCTTTGGCAATCATGCTACTGAAGCCTTAGGAGCTTCTGAATTTCTGCTGAAGAGAGCTCTAAGAAAGGAAATAAAGCCCTTTGACCGACTACCTTTCAGTGCACGGAGGGCATGTTTAGTACTTTCTGTTACATAATGGGCCTGAAATGGATTAGCAGGACCCAAACAAATTCTTTTCCTTGAGAATTACTCCCTGCATTGCTTCTCTCTTTCTGCTGCTTCATTCACAGTGCTAACAGAAGGGTTATCTTTGTTGTTGTTAGCTTGAGAAGTAAATTGCAGCATTGTCTCCCCAGAGCAAGATTTAATCAAAGGTCTCTAGCTGAAGTGGAAAAATGCTCCTCATTATCACCTTTAAATGGAAATATATTTGCCAAGGAGGGGATATTTAAAGGGGGGGGGGTGGCTCTTCTTCTGGTTTGAAGTGCTGCCAGAAAACATTATTTTCAGATTTTAAGAGAGAAACCTCTCAAAGAAATCATTGCTGGGAGTATATTTATTGTAGAAAAATAAAATTAAACATTGCTGCTTTTGGTCAGATCATTTGCACAGCCTTTTATGTGATTAAAGCATTGATATTTGATTTTTCTTTCTCACTAGGTGCTTTTATAATCTGCTGGACCCCAGGATTAGTCTTGTTGCTCCTTGATGTTTGCTGTCCTCAGTGTAATGTCCTGGCCTATGAAAAATTCTTCCTGCTACTTGCTGAATTCAACTCTGCCATGAACCCCATCATCTACTCCTACCGGGACAAGGAGATGAGTGCTACCTTCAAACAGATCCTCTGCTGTCAGCGCAGTGAGAATGCCAACGGCCCCACCGAAGGTTCTGACCGCTCTGCTTCGTCGCTCAATCACACCATCTTGGCTGGAGTACACAGTAATGATCATTCCGTGGTTTAAAAAGGAACTGAAAGATCAAAAAGAACCGCCGAGAATTTTTATTGATGGACGAACAATAACAGGCTCGAAAACCACATAGAGAGGGCTGGGCACAAGGAAAGTAACAAACTCACAAGACATTTTTAAATACTAATGGACTACAGAACTCTTTTTTTTTTTTCCAGAAGACGCACCCACGCACAACACCAACCACGTATGCAGAACTGGCCATGCTATAGCCCTCGTCCTTTCTTATACTTTCTGAAAGTAGAAAGCAGATGCCTTGCAATGGAATTCATAAGTAGCACTAGGAAAGTCTTATTTAGACTACACTAACTAGACTGTCAGAATATGCTTTGTCTTGGTGCCAGTTGAAATCAACTCTGATTAATTAAGCGTATACCTGCTTCACTGCATTTACATGTAGACCCTTAGTCTTGTTTTTAAAAAAAGAACGCATTTCATTTAATAGACACTTAATATTTATCACCATCCGCATGCTTGTGATGGACATTAACTGTGCAGGGAGAAAAAAACATGCTGTCGTCTTTGTATTCTTTGCTACGATACCATAACTACAACAAAACAAAAATATTTTTCTAATACAGGCCACAGGAAAATGATGGAAATTCTGACTCTTCCTACCTTCTTCACTGGTGTGAGAGCACACTTGTTCTCTGTGTTGGTGGATTATTTTAATTAGGAAAAAGATGCTCATTGTAATGTCCACAGGAAAGTAGAAAAGCATAGACTGTATTACAGTGTTTGTTTAGATTATGAAATAAACAGTACTCTAGTCACAAGGTAGTTAACTTTCTTTTCTGAAGTGTGGTCTTGAAATAGGTAACATACACAAGAGGTCCAAAGTTTATTCATGGTCAGCTCCTTAACGTAGGATATGTCTTTAATGCTCTAAAAGAGACACAGTCCTGAGGCTAAACTGAAGCACAAGAGTGTTTTGTAAGATGTATTTATGGTGTTGGAGTGTTTTTCCTCATTCATTGTGGAATGCAAAGGGATTTTTTTAATGCATAATATAGCGTACTTTGTAAACATTTTTTTAAAAAAAGAAATCTTTTTTTTTTTTTGCACTGAGAGAGAGACATTTTTGAGGGTATCTAAACAATTATTTACCCTTCATCTCATCAACAGTAGTTACTTGGAGCTAAGGTACAATTTAATTTTTTTAATGAGACCAAATATATAATCTGTCAAACAACTGAAACCTCCATTATGATAAACCAGCCAAATATCTGGACATCTCATACATGGCTACTTTTAAGAAGAGATACCACCTGTCCAAATATAAACTTGTATGAATTATTAAATACTAATGAAAATCCATGGTCTGCCATCAAATAAATTTTAGTGAAGAAGAGATCTTTGTATTAAAGAACTTGGGACCTTTGTATGCCAAATTACTTGTTTGTGTGTGTGCGCCCAAGTGTGCATAACAATGTAATGGACCATAAGTAAAGTTCATGAGAGGCGGTTTTCCATGTTGTTAGATGCCTAAATAATAACTTGCTTGAGGTTTATCAGTCAGTGTAAAGCTCTGGAATGTTACGTAACAGGTGTTGGAATACTGTCATGAGGCTATTGTGCAGAGGTGGATAGAGTACGTAGATTTAAGAAGGATTCCTGAAAAAGGGAATTCAGCACCAAGCAGGCAGAGAGAGCGTAAAGTTGCCAGTGTGTGTGAAATCAATGGGAGTTTTGCCATTGACTTCAGTGGAGCCAGGATTTTCACCTGTAATGTTTAGCAGGTATGCAGGGGCAATGTGAAAGTGGGGGAGATGAGAGCGGGCAGGTGGGCTTAGAGAAGGTGTCCAGGGATCATGCATCAGTTAAACAAGGGACGGATATTTATGCGTACTTTGTACAAAACACATACAGCTATATTCTTTTCTGAGGTTGAGAACCAATGAACTCAGATTTTTCACGCATGTAACTACAATGAGAACTAGAAGATGGGCTGTTTGAACTTAACGGGGGGAAAAGACCCTCCACGCTAAGCCACTAATAAAGTTTTCTCAATGAGTGTACAATGTTTGGTGTGCATGCCTGTCAGTGCTCAGAGAATAAGGGTGATTCCCCAAAGAGGGGAATAGGTTTGGGGAGGGTGTCATCTCTGTTCTCCTGGCTCCCAGATCTGCTTTCCCTTCTGCTGGTTGCTTTAGTGAGGAGGTAGGCATGATAGAGGACTCAGCACTTGAAGAGTCTTCCCAGCTTCCAGTGTCTCCTGCAGCAAAATGGGGGGCACTACACTATCTGGGTATAATAGTGGTTTTCCTCCTTTCCTGCAGGCATTTCTGATGTCACATGTGGGAGTCGGTAGGACTGATGGTGGAAATTCAAAGTTGGTGGGTTGTCATGGAAGGAAGGGAAAAGGGATCAGCCGATTGGTGAAACAGCCAACTCTAGTCCCGGAATGAGGTCCAGAAGACAGCAGCAAACACCTCTCATCCCCCCAAATATTTTAAAATGTGGGTGACTGAAAGTTTTGGAAAAGGTATGGGAAAGATTGAATCAGCAAGAATCATTTGCAAAAGACAGAAGGGTTGACAAGCCTAGCATGCATGATGAATGTTTTGTGATGTTTCTATTTCTTCGTCAAGTGATGGTCCCTATGTAGATTTTAATTGCTGGTACAATGGGCAGAAGTCACCACCTACGTCCTCTAACCAGTGTCCATTTCCAGAGTGACACTAGCCAGTGCTGGAAGCTAGAATTTTTGAACTTGCAACAGCAATTACATCTCATGCATCAAAGAGATTAATCCAGGAGCACTTGTTACGCAGGTGGCTTTTCACTACGTAAAGGTGAACTTCAGCGGTTTGCTTAAAGTTAATAGAGTGCAAAACTTATTTTATAAGATTCCACTGGAGGAACTGAGCACGTGGTTTTTCAAAAATGTAATTGGTGCTGTATGTTAATGAAATTACCGTCCTATATCCTTGAGAACTCTGAATTGCCAACTGCCTAGTTCTTTTGGAAGCTAATGTAATCACAGCTGCCATGAGCAAAGAAATGAAAACAAGAGTTTGGAAGAGAATGATTCTTTCAACCTCCTGTCTCTGATGGTTCTCATGTCACTTATTTTGGCAGAGAAACCAAGAAATCTGTCATTTGGATTTCTCAGTTTCTTTAGGCGGTTGTGTAATTGTCTCCAGTTGTGTTAAAATACAGTGCTAAATAATTTTTTTTCAACAATGGTTCTAGGAATCCTATAAAAGGTTTTGGGAGACTTTTTTTAAAATTCCAAAGTTTCTCCCAACATAAGTAACATATTTGTATGTCTCGCCCAAGCAAATATTTCCCAAGTTCAAATGTGGTGGTGTTTGCTCAGACAGTTGTAAGCATGGGAGTTCTTTAATGAGGTGAAATGTTTGATGAGGTCATTTGCATGTCAATAACCAAAATGTTTTTCCCAGTTCAGTTATTTGGCAGCAGCCCTAGCGTCAGAGTTCTCTGTGGACAAATGGAAATAGTTAGCAGCAGTTCTCAACCTGTGGGTCAGGACCCCAAAGTGGGTCACAACCCTGTTTTAATGGGGTCGCCAGGGCTAGCGTTAGACTTGCTGGGGCCTGGAGCTGAAGCTGAAGCCGAAGCCTGAGTCCCAGTGCCCGGGGCTCAGGTTACAGGCCCTCTGCCTGGGGCTGAAGCCCTTGGGATCGTGTAGTAATTTTTGTTAGAAGGGGGTCACAGTGCAATGAAGTTTGAGAACCCCTGAGTTAGGGCATTCTTGGGGGTGCCACAGATTTCTTTGCAAGATAAAAAAACAGAACATTCACTGAATGTTTAGCTTCCTTACCTCTATTGTGTTCCGTGTTCCATGTTCCCTGTTTTTACTTTAGATGGAGTGGATAGCTGCCGCTGTCTTGATATATACTTTCATGATGAGGCAGGGAAATTTTTCTGAAGCTATTAATTGTACAAATTTATAGTTTGTAAAAACACAAATCTACATCGTGTTCTAGCTGCAGCATCTCTTTTGTTGTGAACCCTGCCTCTTGATCAGTGACCTCCGATATCTATTGAAGAGCTCAGATTCTGTAATAACTAGAGATGTGCCTAACCTGAAAACCCAGAGCAGAGTGTAATGAAGTTTGGAACAGAGCTGAACTTTACGACTGGCTCCTATCACTAAAACCACAAATCCAAATTACACTTAAAGTTCAGATCTGGATCTAGAGTTCAATGCCTGGGGTCACATCTACAAACAGGCATCCCAGCCAGTTATTGACCAGTAGAGCTAAGCGCAGGCACAAGGCATTTCAAAAGGCAAAGAGGCTGTAGGGAATTCTTCCCCATCAAAAGTTCTCCGATTTAAAGGCAAGGTAATTTGCACATCAAAGAGCCAATAGTTTATTCTTAAAATATCTGCATAAATTTCAAACAGTATTGACCAGCACTGTGTTTTAAATGTTTGTTGAAGCATGTACAGTTATCAAGAGGGAGCAGATATCTCTCTCGACTATATTTGTAGGGCTCCCAGCATCATCCTATCTGAACGCCGCCTAAAACAATTTTTCGATAAAATTATGTGCACAAAAGTTCTCGAGTGATGTTAAAGGGGACACCATGGTTTTGAGAGGTTTAAACGCACGTGCACACAAATTCCTTGAAATACATGAGAATAATACAAGATACAGTTAGGAAAGACTTATTACCCTAGGACACTTAGCCAAGCCATGAAGGTGCTTTGTACCTAGAACTCTGTTTTGTCCATTCTAATCATAAAATGTGGTGACGTTGCCTTAAAAGTATTTTCATTCTTTACATGTTGCATTATTGACATAATGAATTACATTTATATAAATGAAATACTTTGCATCCTTTTATTGTCTTTATTAAAGGATTGTTTACACTAGAATTTGTAATAATATTTTAGCACATTAACTAATGAGATTGCAAATTGTAGTGTAGATAAGTCCTTAATAAAGGCACTGAAGAAATGCCAAGTGTTGTTAAGGTGAAACACAACTAGTGACACACGTTTGTTCCTTGTCTACGTAAAATTGACAAGAGTGGTGTTTACCATGTGTTAAAACACGATTATCCATTGCAGCGTAGACAAGAGCTAAGAGACGATCAAAGCTTTATATAAATACTAATGGAGCCTCCCAGCATCACATTTTAGTCTTCCAATCCTGCCGTTAGGGATTAGTCTACGTAATTGAGGCTACCTACCATTACAATCTACTCAATTTCCAACCACTGCATCCAGTTTTTACGAGTTAATTCAGCTGTCCAGTTTTAGAAGAAAGTCCTTCTAAAGCGTCACAAAAGTCTTTTCAAGTGCTCAGCTACCTCACGTTCAGAGACAATGCCTTGTCATACGATATATCCCTTCCTCTCCTTTTCTTCGTTTACGGGCTTTTAGACACAGTTGCTCATCCTCATAAATATTTCTAAATAGGAAAAAACCCCTACAATATAAAAATACAGCTGGACAAATATATTGTGATCTTAAACCATCATATTGTCTGCTACATCGTCCTAAGTAAATCCAGACCAGTGAGAGTGCTGCCAACACTTTAACAAGAGGCTCCCACAACATGTTCCCTCCCTGCCTGTAATAAACTCCTTGTAAGGAGAGGTGTATATGTGGGAGACTAGGGAATCTAGTTATTTTTCCCCCTAATTAAATGAAAGTACTTTCTCATAACTCTTAACTACGGATGGAGCCAACACTACTTGGCAAATTAATGGTATGTCAAGTTCAGATACATGTTTATAGATTATACCTACTATAGGGAAGTGTTTGGCATGTATAATATGAAGTATGTGAGAAGACCTTTTAGGGGAGCTCTCCTGTGGGGACAGTTTGTTACAAATATGTCTGCATATAGGTGCAATCAGCTCCATTCCAGCGGGCAATACACTTGCTTTTTGGAGCCCCGGGATGATTTAGCAGCATTGTGGGATGTTTATTTCTGGTGAATCATATTAAAATCAAAGCCAGTTTAAATGTTTTCGTTTTTGGCATTGAGTGTAGCTCTGTATTCTTTCCTCTTCCAGACTGTCAAACCCCCATTGGCCCTTATTCTGGGCTGCTTAAATCCATGATTGTGGCATTTTAATCTCAGGTGGTCTTCATGCCTCTGAAGGGGTTACCTGGGTGCAAGTGTATCGTGATGCCCCAGGTGGCTTGTTGGTACGGGGGGATCAAAACTCAGAACCTGTGGCTCTAAAACCACAGGCCTCTACTGCCTGAGCTAAGAAAACCCAGCTCTGTTAGCTCACTGCCAGTAGCAGACTCATAAATCTCACTATGTGGTCCAGCCATGAAAGGGGGATAGAGAGCCACAATGCGTAAATGAGAGTTACGCGAGCATAATGGTAGGCTTGGTTACATAGCGTTGAGTTTTTTAAGCATGGGGGAAAGAATTAGGCTTGTGCTTTCTATTCCTGCTCTGTCATTTGTAAAGGCGGCCTGATAGTGGTTGGGATTTTTTCGGCTAGATATTCACGATAGAAATTTAGCCTTTTGTTTATTATTTGCATTACCATAGTACCTAACATTTCCAGTCATGGACAAGGACCCCATTGTGCTAGGTCCTATACAAACACACACCCCGCAACAAGCTTACAATCTAAGACACACTATGATGACAGAAGAGCTTGTGAAATGATGGCATTAGAACGGCTGGTAGAGAAAGTTAAGCAGTTGAGAAGGGATGGGATTTTTACTTGGGCCTTCTATACAGACACACAGTTACTAAATCAATTTCAGTTATCTTCTCCTATTGTGGTGCAAGTCTGTGTGTAGACTCCCATGTCAGAATGTGTGTCCCATTTTGATTTGGATGAAGTAGATAAAATATCAGCTAAAACTAAACTGAAATAGGACACTTAGATTCCAAAATCAGCATGTCTACACACAGACTTGCACCACAATAAGAAAGAGAGTGGACTAAAACTGATTTAGTTATTTTAGTGCCCGTTTGTGGGTAGTTCAGCCCTCAGACTGCTTAAAACCCTTGTTGGTTTGTTTTTAACCTATGTTTAACTTTGACTAGTTAACACTCTTGCAAAAAAAGGT